CTGGAGCCTGTTGGGGGTGGGGGCGGGGGGAGGGACAGTAGTAGGAGAAATACCTAATGTAAATGACGAGTTGATGGGTGCAGCAAACAACATGGCACATATATACCTATGTAACAAACCTGCACGTTGTGCACATGTACCCTAGGACTTAAAGTATAATAATAAAAGAGTAAAAAAAAAAAAAAGAAAAAAGAATATGTAGTGTATACATACAAGAGGATATTATTCAGTCCTTAAAAAGAAGAAAACTCTGTCATATGCTACAGTATGAATGAACCTTGAAGACATTATGCTAAGTGAAATAATCCGTCACAAAAAGACAAATACTGCATGATTCCACTTATCTAAAGTAGTCAAACTCTTTGAAACAGAAAGTAGAATAGTAGGCCAGGTGCAGTGACTCATGTTTGTAAACTCAGTGACTCATGCCTGTAAACCCAGCACACTTTGGTAGGCCAAGGCAGGTAGATCACTTGAGGCCAGGAATTCAAGACCAGCCTGGCCAATGTGGTGAAACCCTGTCTCTACTAAAAATACAGAAATTAACCAGCTGTGGTGGGGGGCACCTATAATCTCAGCTACTTGGGAGGCTGAGGCAGGAGAATCACTTGAACCCAGGAAGCAGAGGTTGCAGTGAGCCAAGATTGCACCAGTGCCCTCTAGCCTGGTTGATAGAGTGAGACCCTGTCCCAGCACCACCCCCCTCAAAAAAAAGGAAGTAGAATGGTAGTTGCCAGGGGAGGGTGGTGGGGGTAAAAGGGAGTTGTTGACTGGATATAGAATTTCAGCTTTGCAAGATGAAAAAGTTCTACACCCCAGGTATGAGAGCTCATGTCTGTAATCTCAGCACTTTGAGAGAACCAAGGTGGGAGGATCGCTTGAGCCCAGGAGTTCAATACCAGCCTGGACAACAAAGTGAAACCCTGTCTCTACAAAAAAATCAAAAAATTAGCTGGGCATGGTGTCACACACCTGTGGTCCCAGCTACGTGGGAGGCTGAGACAGGAGGATTGCCTAAGACCAGAAGGTCAAGACTGC